TCCTTTGCCCAGGAGGTGGGTCTATCAGATACATTTGTCACATGCTTACCAGTTACTATAGCCAACCAGGAATGCTGTCTGTCAAGAACCAGGAGTCTCAGAGAAGGAAGACTGTTTACTCAGGGAGTCCTGCTGGGAAGAGTGAAGACCTAGTGTATGATGAGATTCTCTGCTAAAGTTCTCCACCCATAGGCAGGATAAACGAACTAGTTAACAGCGTAGCTCAGTGGCTATGTATCCACAGGTGGCAATTATAATAATTAGAGAGTGTCTGAGCAAATGTTTACAAAAGTAACTTTGGGAATGGGTAATATTGAGATTTTTATTTTATTTATTTTTTTAGAAGAATTATTTTATTTAGCTTTATTTATTTATTTATTATTTTAATTTGACTAGAGAGGGACAGAAAGAGAGAGAGAGAGAGAGAGAGCAAGCAAGCCACTAGGTCCAGGATTTGAACCGTGATTGGCCATGTGGGAATCCAGTGGCCTTAACCACCACACCACCAAGTTTTATACATATGTTTTTATTTTCTACTTTTAATCTACTTAAAATGAGATACATTTCTTCTCAGTTTTAAAAAATAAAATTTTTAAAGAATTATTTTATTTAACTTTATTTATAAGTTGACTAGAGAGGTACAGAGAGAGAGAGAGTGAGAAAGCAAGTCACCAGGTCCAGTACTTGAACTGCAGTCAGCCATGTGGGAGTCCAGCATCCTTAACCACAACGCCACCTGTTGGCCCATTTCTTCTCAGTATTTTATACTCTCAGATAAACATTACTGGGCACCAAAGATGTGTGTGTGTGTGTGTGTGTGTGTGCGCATGTATAATTGTTGGGAATGTTATGACACATTTTTGCATTTAAAAAATATGTCATGACTTTCCTAATGGCCTAATATATACACAAACCATGGGGCTATAATTTGTATCTTCTAGAAATCCTGGTAAATTTTGATCCAGGGCAAGACATTGTATTTTTTAAATTATAGAGGCTTTCTGGGGCCAGAAGGTAGTGTGGTGGTTAAGGGTGCTGGACTTCCACATGGCCAACTGCTGTTCAAATCTTGGACCTGGCGACTTGCTTTCTCACTTTCCTTCTCTCTCTCACTTTGTCCCTCTGTGGTCAAATAAAAATAAATAAAGTTAAGGAAAATATTTTTTGAGAGGTTTTAGCTATAGGGCTCGTGCACTCGCCAGATAGAGACAGAGAGACAGAAAGCAAGAAATCACTTCCCAGGGGGATGGCCACGCCACAATCCCTTCTCCTCCATTCTCCTTTCAGGATTTTGGGCATGCACGCACACGCACCTGACGTGAGTTTAAGCCACCGGGTCCAGGGCTTGAACCAAGGTCGACTACATGGGAGTCCAGCCACGTAGCCATTGCGCCATCTGCCGGTCCCTCTCTTTTGAATTTTAAAATGAAATTTTAAATGAGTATCTAGTAGTCAGATGTAGTGCTTTCTCTCGTCCTGTGAATTCCCTAAAGCAATGATCACAGATTAACTGAAAGGGGGAAATGAAATACTGGAGAGAGACACAAACGCAAACATTGGTTAATATTTAAAAATATTGTGCCATATGTGTTTTCATTCAATAAACCTTCACTTACTTATTGAGCGTATATGAAATTCAACCAACCAGCCCAGCTATGGTGGCACAGCAGTAGCATGGGAAGTCTGCCATGCTGGAAGCCATATGGAAGAGCAGGATTCAGTTCCCAGGTTGATTTGTATATGCCAGGCATCCTCACACACATGCCCGTGATCCTGGCAGGGGCTAAAGGGGCTTGGGGTTGAATTGAGGTTTGAAACTGTGTTAGAGATTCTTGTCTCTCTCTCTCCTCCTTTTTTTCTTTCTCTCCACATAAAAAAAATTCAGGGGGAAAAATGAAATTCAACTAATCAATAGGGATATTGGGGAAATATGATTTTAATTTTAAATGAATTGCAACCTTAAGCTCATTTTACTTGTGTAACAGAAACTTCATCTCAGTCAATCTGGGGACTTTCCTAGGATTGTGTGTAAGTACCAAGAGACTAACATAGTGTCAAAGCATCCTGGTGGGAAGGGCTCTAACATTCAATGTCACCTGTCCACAAAGTCCCCGCTCTCTTAATTGGGACCACTCTCCCCATTAAGTGGTCCATTCTTGTTTTTCTCAACATTCATTCTTATCCTCAAGGCCCCTGTAGATCTCCCAGCTTTGTCAGTTTACCTTGTTTTGTTTTGTTTTGTTTTGTTTTTAAGAGATTTTTGCTATAGGGTGCATGTGCTCACTGGATAGAAAGACAGAGAGAGACAGAAAGCAAGAAATCACGCCCCAGGAGGGATGGCCATGCCACAGTCCCTTCTCTTCCATTCTCCTCTAGGGATTTTGGGCACACATGCACATGTGTCTTGTGTGTTTTAAGCCACCGACTCAAACCATGGTTGACTACATGGGAGTCCAGTGATGTAACCATTACACCCTCTACTTGTTTTCATTCTTGAATACAAAGGAAACTTTCTGTTGCTTCTGAACCTTTCTAGAGGAAGGAGAGACCCCAGCTCTGTAGATGTGCTATGGGACTGCATTTTTTTTTTTTTTGAGAATTTTTTTCGCTATAGGGCACATGTACTCACCAGAAAGACAAAGAAACAGAGAGACTGAAAGTGAGAAATCACCCCCCCCCCCACGGGGGACGGACCCGCCCCACACCACCGGGGGGATGGCCAAACCACAATCCCTTTTCCTCCATACTCCTCTCGGGCTCTTGGGCATGCACTCACACACACCCAGCATTAGTTTAAGTCACTGAGTCTGGGAATTGAACCATGGTCAACTACATGGGAGTCCAGTGACATAGCCATTACGCCAACTGCTGGCTGGGACCCCTTTTTCTAAGGAACTTTGCTCTTTTCCTGGAGCTAAACTCAGACTGTTTTTAGGGTCAGCCATATAGTTCTAGGTAAGTGAATAGGGATGCTTCACAATGTTATGATGACACTTTGTCCCTGAGTTTTGTTTATGCCATGAGTTTCTTCAGTTTTCCTAAGGACCTGAGCTTTACAGAATTCAAAATTCAGAAACAGTTTGCTTTCTCTTGTCCTATGAGTTCCTTAAAGCAATGATCACAGATTGACGGAAAGAGGAAAATGAAATACTGGAGAGAAAAGCAAAGCCAAACATGGTTAATATTTTTTAAAAACCTTGTGCCATATGTGCATTCATTCAGTAAACCCTCACCTACTTATTGACACTGCTCCTATGTGCCAGGCACCAGGCTAGACCCTAGACTATAATGATGAGCAAGTTACAGTCTTCACCTCAACTGGCTTCAGATCTGACAGGAAATACATGCAGACAAGAAAAGAGGCAGTTTCAAGACTTCTGGCTGAAGTGGTTGAGCGAACACATGTTCACTAACTCTCCTTTCCAAAATTACATAAAAATGACAGTAAAGATTATTTTTAAGATTCAAACCCATAAAGACCAAAATTAAATACTTATATGAAATACTTATACGTGATGGCAGCCATGGAATTTGGGGAACCAGCGAGCAGATGGACTAGTGGTGAAATTGACTGAAGAAGCCAGAGAAAACTGAAACCAAAGTTGGAGCGAGGAAACCTTAGAAGCCTGGTTTGAACTAAGGAGTCTCAGAAATATTTAGCAATTGGGAGGGGCTGGGAGGGCTGGAAAAGAGAGGTTTTGTTTTAAGTCTGTAAAAGAAATGCATGGGCAGCCAAACTTTACCTCCGGGTGGGAGTATGGGAGTGTGGTCGTGGTCTCTATGGGACGTAGCTGAAAACAAAGGGAAAAACAAAACGAACAAACACAAAACAATAAAGCATCCTATCCTGATCACCTTAGAGGGATGTGTTCCAACCTGTTCTAGTCCATTTTTTATTGCTTTCATTTAGTTTTTTGTTTGTTTGTTTGTTTTTTTGCTGTAGGATATGTGCACTCACCAAAGAGAAACAGGGATGGAGAGGGAGCGTGAAAAGGCACACCCTCCCGCATCCCCCAGTAGGATGGCTACACGTAATCTGGTCTCCACCATTCTCCTCTTGGGATTTTGGGCAAGCTTGCACACACACAGGGGGGTTTTTCAAACCGTGGGCCCAGGGCTTAAATTCTACAGTTGGCCATGTGGAATCCAGTGCCTTAACCTCTATGCCACCTGCTGACTCATTTTGCTTTAGTTTTCAATATGTGCAGGCAGCCGAGGATGACCAGAGCTTTAAGGAAAGCCCATGTCATGACAGATAGGACCAAACCAGATAAATATTTGAAGAAAAGAGCAATTGAGCACAGAGCAGAAGAATGAACAAAACACACAAACAGTTTCGCAAGCCCTAGGGTAGGATGCTATGAAGATTAGAAGGGATATTGCATCCAGGGAACAGTGAGGAAGATTCTAGAATAAAACTATTCAGAGAGTGCCGGGGTCCAGCCTCGGTGGGGGTGGGTTAGCTCGTCGGAGGCGGCATGTGAATAAAATTAGGCTGAAGTCTCAATGCTCCTTAGCATGCTCTCAGCCAGAGCCAGCTACAGACCACAGTGCTCCAAACACACATATTTATTGAGGGATGTCTTATAGGAGTAGGAGGGGTGAGGGGGAAATAAAAGATTTACTCTATGAAACAGAGAATTCAAGGCACAGGAACAATGATCATAAAACATGATGTCTGTTCTGTTTGAACAGGTGAAGCCAAACACAGTTCTCAGAACGAAGGAGTCTATTTGTCTGGTGTATTTTCTTCTTAAATCTCGATTACTCGACAGGGTCTTTTGAAGAGGGGGCTTGCAGGAAGTTTGATAATTTTAGTCCCAGGTCAGCTTGATAACTTCAGTCCTGGGCCAGGGTGGCAACATTGCTGGTTACAAAGGTAGGGTTGGATTAATGGTGGGTCTATTGCAGTTCCACAATTGTTCGTTTGATGTAGGTGAGTCTTCATGGAATGCAGTTTCAGGAAAGCAGCTCCAGCAAACAGAGATAATTATCAGCTGATGCGGCGCGGCAGCCATCTTGTGATTACCGAGCATGATGCTGAGAAAAGAAAATCTCAAGTATAGATATTAGTTCTTATGGATTTCAATAAAGAATGGAACTTATACAATTTTATAGGGATCTAAAACTTAATTCAAGGAATCCTAATGTATCTTAAAGGGGTAAAACAACTGTTCACCAGGTAAGGGCAGGGACAGCCTTTTCAACTGGCGGTAAAGTGACTAATAAGTTAATGAAGAACTTTAAGGTGAGTTTGTGGCATACTTAAAACAATCTATTGTGCCTGTGGCGCCACTGTTATGTATTTTGTTAGAACATTAGCCATAGTGGTGCGGGAGTGCCCTGGGCCCATTTCAGCCTAAAAGATTATTTTTAAGCTTATGTTAAATGTATCTTGAAGGGCCTTCCAAAGGGTCAAGAAGATTTCTGCCTAGATGTGACTTCAGCACACCCTCTATTGTGACTGTGCTGGGGTGAAGCATTGTAATTAACAATAGGTGGTCAGAGCAAAGGGGAGCGATCAGGGGACTTTTTGGAAAATCTTATATACTCAGGATGTATAAGAGAGCTATTTAATTCTTTTATAGTAGTACATTAGGGAGTCAGAGGGGGGTCACTTCCCAGTAAGGCTACCAAGCAGTGCTCAATGGTCAAAAGCTCAAAACAGATCCTGGGGCCCTACCAGGTCGGACTCCTCCAAGAGAGTGAAAAATTGCTCTTTAGATCTGACTCTGTGGCAGTAAGGACCTGTGAGGGCCTCCCACATCTCCCTCTCTCTCTAGAAATAAATTTAAAGAAAAGAGAGAGAGAGAGATAATTTTCCTGAACAGAAGTACTTGAGTTTATAGACTGAGGGAACTCACTTTCACAAAAACTTATACTAAGACATGTCATTGCAAAATTTCAGAACCTTGGAGACAAAGCAGGAGTCCTACAAACTTCCAGAGATGAAAGGATACAGAATTTTGGAAGCACGAGGGAAAGCTAGCAGCCAGTGAAGCCACCCTTTTAGGATTCCTGTGGAAAATTACTTCAGCTCTTGATTTCTAGTCCCTGCCAAACTTTCTAACACATACAAAGGCAGATTAAAGACATTTGAGACATGCAAGTTGAAACTTTTTTTTCTTTTGAACTTATTTCCTTTCACTCTTTTGCAGGACAATCCTGAAGAAAGGAGGCCAAAAAAAAAAAAAAAAAAAAAAAAAGAAGAGAAACACAACAAGCAGAAGGCAGCCTAAGATTCAGGAAACAGACCATCCACACAGCTCGACCCATTGTTTCAGTCTGCCTAGGACTGAGAAAGCTGCCAAATATAGGACTTTCAGGTATAAAACAGGGACAGCCCCGGGCACACTGGAATGAGTCGGTCATCCTGTGACCAGGATAGCAGGGAGGGGACATCTGAGTTGGAAAGCTACTGACAGATATGAAAGCAGTCACCCAGACAGGTGAGAGTTCTAGGAAGGATGTCTACACACCTATGTATGCACGTGTGTATCTCCTGGTGAGTTTGAATCTATGACAGGAAGTCTTCTGGTAGGGAGTTTAGAGAGAAATAAGCTACAGGCACACAGGAAATGAAACCAGTGATAGTTGTGGGCAAAAGAGGGAAAACAAAATAGAAAAGAGTGAAATCAGAGGACAGTCATAACTCTTCTGTGAATTATATTTACATATGCATAGAGTATAAACCCTAAGTGGAAATTATAGATATTAAAATAGTAGGGGAGAGAAAGGAAAGCTAAATTATTGATATTATCTTTATTGGTATAGAATGGATAGGTCCTATTCTTTAAAAAACAAAAACAAACCAAAAAACCATCATAATCATGCTATTTAAAAGCCTGGAGGTTAGGGCCAGCAGGTAGCCTGGTGGTTAAGGTGTGGATTCCCACATGGCCAACCATGGTTTGAGTCCCAGACCTGACAACTTGCTTTCTCACTTTCCCTCTCTATCTCTGTCCCTCTCTGGTGAATTAAAATAATACTAAATAAAATTAAATAGATATTTCTTTTTAAAAAATGAATAAAAACATAGAGGTCAATTCCAGAAAAAAAATGTCTTAAAGAATTGCAAAAATTTCCTTCCGATGAATGGAAATTAATGGGAATGAATAAGGCAAAAGACGTTTTTATCTTAAACGGTAAAAGAATTTTTGATTTTTTAAATTATGAGCTAGAAGATCTTTGATAAAGAATAATGTATCTTTAAAAGAAATAATGATATTCTTCAGCTTGTATTTTAACTTCATTATGTACTACTTTGCCACTCAGAATTTAAACTTAATGTAGTCACATTTATTAGTTTTTCTTTTACAATCTGCTTTATGTGGTTTTAATTTCTCCATTAATATGTCAAAACACAATGTAAAATGCAAAATTTCTAGAAAGCATGTATAGTATCTGCCTAATAACATTAAATTTGAGGCACACTGAGCAGTGCTCCATATCGTCTTTGATTAGACACATCAATAATGAAAATATACATGTATAACATGTATATTTAATATTTTATTTCTCTATGTTAAAAAATATACATAACATGTATATTTAATATTTTATTTCTCTATGTTAAAAAATTGTTTAATTAACAGAGTATGTAACTATAACAAAGTTTAATTGGTAACAAAGTAGCCTTACTTTTATGTAGTTTGAAATAGTTCATAGTTCCTTTCCAAAACTATGTTTTGGCCACGTGGCCTCCTGAGTGGAGGCAAAGCGCATTAAATTGCTCTTTCTGTCCCAGCAGCAGCTTGCTGTCTGGGCAGCCCCACATCACCACAGTGACACTGTGACGCCTTGTCAAGATGTTTTTCCCCCTTTGGTCTCCTTCCTGTGCCCAAACCCTCCTCCCCTGGCCTGTGGGATTCCAGGACGCTGAATCACACAGGGAACCCTCTGTCTCCTGCCCACTCCCTGCCCTGGACTCAGGCAGTGTCCCGCCACCCAGGAAAAGTCCCCTTCTGCACAGTTTGAACGTGATCAGTTCAGAACCAAATCTTTCCGGCAGGAGAAGGGAGTTCGTCTTCCTAAGTCAAGCTCCACCTGGGTTTCGAAGGATACTCCTGCTTTACATTAGTGTACCTAACGCCCAAATCAAGATAAAGAACCTTTACATTATTTCCAGAAGGTTCTCTTTTACCTCTTTTAGTCAACCTCCCCCTTAAACAAACCAACAACAAAAAACAAGTATTCCGATTTCTGTCACCATAGCTTAGTTTTCCTGTTCCCAAACTCCATCTAAGGAGAATCAGATAGAGTACACCCTTCTTATATCTTGCTCCTGTTCAATATGTTTTTGAGATTATTGCATGTTGTTGTGTCCGTTTTTTATTATGAACACAATAGCCTTATATGGATAAACCATTCATTTATTTACCTATTCTCCCTTAATGGGTATTCCACTTCAGTTGTTCTACACTCACTGGTTTTTAAAAATGAAATAACCAGAATAAACCAACTATATAGAAAAGTTTAGAACTTCCCTTCATAGTGGTGAAGTTTCTTTATGAAATCCAAATTACATTTATAGCAGATATCTGAAAAAATTGAAATTAGCCTGTTCCCATTCTATAGAATCCAATTCTTGAAAAGATAGAAATTTGAATGTCCAAGCAGATTGTCATCTTGAAGTTTTTTCAATTTCCATTCTGAATCCTTAAAGCCATTTGAAATATAAATGGAATTTTGGAATTCTTCCTTTGCATATTGCCTTGTGAATATTGATTAGATAATCCACTTAAAATATTTTTAACATAATGATTTTAATTTTGTGTTTCAAAATGAAACTAGAGGGGGCCAGCAGATGGCATGGTGGTTATGTCACTAGATTCCCACATGGCTGACCATGGTTCAAGTCCTGGGTTTCAAAATCACACCAGGTGTGTGTGCCTGCATGCCCAAGATGCTTAGAGGAGAAAGGGGTCGAGGCGTGGCCATTCGTGGGAGTGTGGGGACTGTGTGTGTGATTTCTCATTTCCCCTGTCTCTGTCTCCCCACAAGCACAAGTGCCCTAAGGCAGAAACCCCTGAAAAAATGAAACTAGAGAAATTAAATACAGATCATGAGTATCATTCAAAACCTAGATAAAGCTTGAGTTAGAAAGACAGCGCACCCTAAACTGGGAACTTGGGTCTAGAATTTTGGTTATGTTACCATTTGTTTAATAAACTATTTGAAGTAGTCATCTATTACTTTGTAACAAATTAGTCCCAAATTTGGTGGCTTAAAGTAACAACCTTTTTCTTTTCTTTACCATTTCTGTTGGCCAGGAATTCAGGAGCAAATTAGCTGGGTGACTTGTGGTTCAGGATTTCTCATGACACTGCAGGCAAGGAGTTGTGATATCTGGTCAAAGACGAGCCTTAAGAGAAGAGTAAAGAGACGAGGATGCTTACCGTCCTGAAAGACTAGTAGGAGTTCACCCCGTACGCGAAGAGAACGTGGGGAGGGTGTTTGAGCAGTCAGGGGAGATAACAAATACAAAACCAGGGATATTTAAGTAGTTTGTTGGCAAGAAGGTGGTAGGTATAAACTTGGAGAGGATATTATACACTTTGCTAAAAAAAAAAAATGTCTATTTCCCCCTAGTAATTAAAAAGCGTGTTTAAAATCTATTAAATTTCAGCATGGAATAATATGATCAGATTTTCAATTAGGAAGAATAAAAACCTTAAACCAATTTGGAAGATAAATTGGAGAGTAGGAATTAATAAGCCAGGGGAACAGCAGATGGTGTAATGGTTACATTGTTGGACTGCCATGGAGTCAACTGCGGTTTGAGTCCCAGACCCGGCGGCTTAAAACTCATGCCAGGAGAGTGTGCGTGTGTGCCCAAAATCTTGATAGGAGATTGGAGGAGAAGAGATTGCAGCGTGACCATCCCTCCTGGTGGTGATTATTTGCTTTCTGTTTCTCTCTCTCAGTGTTTCTGGTGAGCACATGCACCCTATAGCAAAAATCTCTCTCTCAGAAAAAGAAAGAAAGAAAGAAAGAAAGAAAGAAAGAAAGAAAGAAAGAAAGAAAGAAAGAAAGAAAGAAAGAAAGAAAGAAAGAAAGAAAGAAAGAAATTAGTAGAAAAATATTACAATAACAGAATAACAGAGTAACAGATGGGTAGGAGGGAGCAGATATGAGGTAAGGAAGGTGCTGTTAGACTACCTTCTTAGATATGATAAGGGAGAGGGCAGATAAGGGGAAGTAAAGGTTCCAGAAATTTCAGTACGAGTGACTGAGGAACAGCGATGTCTTTAACCAGGATAGGGGATGTGGAGGAAGAAGCTAGCCCTTAATGATGAGTTAGGTACAGGCAGGAATTGAGTTGGCTCTGGGTGTCTTGATAGAGCAGCGGGCAGGGCAGGTAGATATATTAGCCCAGAGATCAAGATGGAGGTCTGGGACCAGCAGTTAGCGTAATGGCTATGTCGCTGGACTCCCACGTATTCGACCGTGGTTCGAGTCCTGGACCTGGTGGCTTAAACTCACACTGGGTGCATGTGTGTGCGTGCCCAAGATCCTGAGAAGAGAATGGAGGAGAAGAGATTGCGGAGTGGCCATCTTCCCTGGGGGGTGATTTCTTGCTTTCTATCTCTCTGTCTGTCTCTGTCTTTCTGGTGGTGAGGTCATGCGCCCTTAAAAAAAAACCCCCTAAAAAAAAAAAAAAAAAAAAAAAAAAAGATGGAGGTCTGAGCCTGATGGCCTGATGGGGATTTACCAGGGCAGTTTCTGTGGTCAGGCTGTTGTAGGCTGAGTGACACAGGAAGGAATGGTACACAGGGGTTGGCATCTGGCTGGATTCCACATGGCCAACTGCATGGTTTGAGTCCCAGACCTGGCAGCTTGAGAAACACACCAAATGCATGTGTGTGTGTGCACAAAAGGGAAGGAGGGAGAGATGGAGGAAAAGGGATTGTGGTGTGACCATTCTCCAGGGGAGATGCCTTCTCACTTTTTCTTTCTCTCCCTCCCTGTTTCTCTTTCTGTCTCTTCCAGTAAGCACATGTCCCCTGGGGTGGGGGGGGAGTTAGAAATTGTACATGGAGCAGTGCTTCGGAAGGAATCCCTTACACAGATCAGTGGTTCTCGGATGTAGGTGATTTTGCCCAGTAAATGTCCAGAGACACTTTAATTTGTAGTAACCGGGGCATTGTCCTGAGGAGGAGGGTGTGTGAAACCCCCACTTAGAGCTGATTGGTAAAAGTACAGGCGACAACTTGGTACTTGAGGATGGCATCTGAAGGGGGGGAGGGCAGTTCTGTGGGACCAGGTCCTTAATCTATAGATGGTGCATTAACTCCTCGTAACATCGTAATTGGGTTGTAGGACACCAGCTAGAACATACTCTTTTGGTGATGGGAGTGTTCTTTTGATGGGAGTGTTCTTTGAGTAGAAAAAAGTTTTTTTTTTTTTTCCTTTAGTATAAGAAAAACAAAACCAATAGGATATGGAGGTAGATACACACATACATACATATACACACACACACACACACACACACACACACACACACACACTCATTAGGCCTGAGAGCCTGAGAGCCATGGCACGTAGGTTCCAGTTCAAGTTTGAAGGCCCGAGAAGCAGAGAACTGATAGAAGATGGACGCCCCAGCCCAGCAGTCAGGCCCTTCCTCTGCCTTGGTTCTATCAGACCCTCAGCAGACTGGACGATGCTCACCCACACTGGTGAGAGTAGGTCTGCTTTACTGGGTGCACCAGCTCACATGGTAATATCTTCCTGAAATGACCTCACAGACATACCCAGAAATAACATTTATCAGCTTTCTGGGCACTTCATGGCTCTGTTAAGTTGGCACATAAAATGAACCATTATGGGACCAGCAGATGGTGTAAAGGTTACGTCACTGGACTCCCATGTAGTCAACCATGGTGCAAGTCCTGGACCCAGTGGCTTGAGACTCACACCGGGTGTGTGTGCGTGCATACCCAAAATCCTGAGAGGAGAATGGAGGAGAATGGATTGTAGAATGGCTACTCTGGGTATGATTTCTCACTTTCTGTCTCTTTCTGTCTCTCCAGTGAGCACATGCACCATATAGCAAATAGCAAAAATCTCTCTTAAAAAAATAAAAAAAAAAGAGCCATCACAATCAGAAATCTCATGAGACCCAATTTGTGCCCTCATCTATTATATTAACAGATTTCTGCTGTGTCATCTCAACCCGTTAGACCGTGCACTTTAATTGGACAGATTCTGTGTGTGTGTGTGTGTGTGTGTGTGTATTTACATCCCTGTAGTCTCAGTGTCAATGACAACACCTGACTACAGATTTGTCGCATGAGTGAAGAAAGGCCCTGGATAAAGACATCGATGTTGGGAGAACTGTTAAATTGGCCCTGAGAACTGGAGTGGGCTGGGGTGTGTGTGTGGATGCTGAAACTTGGCTGGCTACAGACAGGGCCTACAATAGTACAGCAGTGGATTCAGAAGGACTTAATTTTGGTTGCTGAGTGGGATGGGTGGGGACTGAATCATCTGCTGGAAGATGAGGGTGGGGTTTAGTGGTGAGAATTTTTGGAAGGAGAAAGAGGGCTGAGAAATTAAAAACAATCTTCCTGTTATTTTTAGGCATTAAACAAGTCAGCTCATTTAATCCTAACCATCATCCCAAATAAGGAAAAATCAAATCATTATCCAAGGTCAGGCACTAGTAAGATCATAAAGTAAAACTTTACTGGGACCAACAGGTGGCGTGGTGATTAAGGCACTGGACTCCTACATGGCCAACCAGGGTTCAAGTCTTGGATCTGGTGGCTTGCTTTCTCACTTTCTATTTCTGTCTCTCTCTGATTAAATAAAATAACAATAATAATAAAAAATAAATGAATAAATCTTTAAAAATAAAAAAAAATAAAACTTTACCTAAGCAGGAAAGAGTCCCCTCCAGGATTCAGAATTCTTGTCTGAGAATGTATCCATTTCTCTGGCAAAATTCTGTTTTACAAAGTTTCCTTTAGATTTCTTTTAATATTTCCTAAGCATTCTGAATATCAGTAGTTTTCAGTTACTATCAGCTGTTGTTACAAAAATGAAAATCTGGGGCCAGGTGGGGCATTGGTTAAGGGGCTGGACTCTTATATGGCTAACTGTGGTTGGAGTCCTGGGCCCAGCAGCTTGAAAATCATGCTGGGCATGTGTGTGTGTGTTCCCAAAATCCCAGGAGGAGAAGGAATTATTGTGTGGCCATTCCTCCTGGAAAGTGATTTCTTACTTTCTCTCTTGTCTGTCTCTGTCTCTTTCCAGTGAGCACAGGAACCCTGTGGCAAAAAACTAAAAAAAAAAAAAAAAATCCTACACCACATTACATTCATTCATATATTCATCATTTATTCAAAATAGGAGACAAGCAAGTGCTAAGTTGCTGAGCATTGTGCTTGAGGCTGGGGGTTCGTCAATAAGTGAGAGACACGATGCTTGCCTTCTTATAAGTACACTTAGTGCTTTTATTACTTCTTTTATTAATAGCTTTGAGAATCTAATCAAGACTAAAACATTCTGCCTGCAAGATTCCTATGAGATACCCTAACTATTTACCCAAGAATTACATTCCAGTCTCCTGCTAGGGGAGTGGATTTACATGTTTACTGGATAAATGCCAATGTTTAGAATAAAAACAGTGGAAAGACAGTGACGGCCAAAAATCGCCTGACAAGTCTCTGCTTTGACTTTCATGGTGAGCAGACGGCTCTCAGGGAGGGGACAGTTAGCACTTTGGACTTAGAGGAGCAGAGCTGACCCAGCAGGAGGGCAGTGCTCTGTGGGGCTAGGCTGGCCCAGGAGGGCCTAGGTTTGTGTCCAGAGGTCTCTCTGGGCATGTGCCCATGATCTGGGCTGGATGAGGCTGGGGTGGTCATGGTATGAAGACTCTGTTGGAGTGACTGTCTCTCTCTGACTCCCTCTCTCTCTGCCTTCCCCCCTCTCTTACTATCTGTCTCACTCATGGAGGAAATAAAATAGAATAAATGATTTTTTTTAAAAAAAGTGTATGTGGGCCTATTGCTAAAATACATCCCCCTTTTTAAAAAGTTTTATTTATTTATTTAATTATTATTATTATTATTTTTAAAATTTGACCAGAGAGAGAGAGAGAGAGAGAATGAGAGAGGAAAAGTGAGAAAACAAGCCTCCAGGTTCAGGCCTCGAACTGTCATTAGCCACGTGGGAGTCCAGTGCCTTAACCACCATGCCACCTGCCAGCCTCTTATTTATTATTTATTTATTTTTATCATTATTATTCAAATGGCTGTTGGACACATGCATTCACGAGAGAGAGAGAGAGAGAGAGAAGGAGGGAGAGAGAGAGAGAGAGGGAGGGAGGGAGAAAGCTGCCAGGTCTGGGACTTG